TTCATACCGAACCAATATATGATCAGATTTATTTACCATATTCATTTCGGTTCACTCATTTTTTCGACCAACACACATGGTAAATCGTACGGAAATTCGGTGCTCCCCCTTTGATAAAAAGAAATCGGTGTTTCCCATGAGCGGTGTAATATAAAGAATAATTTCAATAAAAATAGATAAAGTTATGCAAGGCTACGAATAATAGTATGTTATATAATTTCATGTATTTATGTTCCCTCGCAATAAATATAAGCATCATAAAAAGTTAGACTGACCACACCATCACCATTCACCATGCCATTGATAATTTGACGTATTTKGACATTTCATATTTTTCTTAACAATCCTTGTTTTTTTTCGTTTACTTGGTATCTATAATAGTCTACCCTCATGTAAATAGTTTTAGCATATTTTGTATTTATCGAATCTTCTAAATAAAAAGTTGAATAATGTTGACAAATTTTCCGAATCTATATATGCATATACATATTGATGCTGTTTGGTTTTCATTTTATCAGAGAATGTTTAATTTTTTTTTTTATCAAATGAAATTATTGTATTTTGGTTGACACTCTAGGCAAAAATAAATAAATTCTCAAGCATAATTGATTCCAATTTAAATGAATCTATTTACCGACGAGGTTACAACCACTTGTTTCTCACTCTATTTCAAAAACTTAATTTCGAAGTATCATGTTGAAACATGATTTAGTGGCTTTAACAAAAACAAAAAACAAAACATGATTTAGTGGAACTTATAAATCCAAACCTAAAAACGTGTGTTCTTTGTAATTTATCATTGCGATTATAGAAGGCTATACATTACTTATCAAATTAGCATTCATTGCTTCACAAGAAAAATAAATGTCGTGTAGCGAAGGAAGAATGGGACTTGCATAAGTCCATAGGACCATAGGGCATGGAATATGACTTATGAAGGAAAATGATGTTTGACTAAAATCCTCATTACGTTTCCACAAAATGGTACTCCTCTTTCTTTTTTTTCCTAATTTCTCTAATAATGTGAATCATGTGACGAATGATAACCATAATTCTGGTCACTAATATTACCGAAGAACAATGTGTATAAGATATCTCATATTTTACATTTTTTATAGATCATGTAAAACCTCTTAGATTATATTCATTGAGAGTATTTAAAAAGGAGTTCTTACC